CCCTCCGGCAGCCCAGCCCGCTGAGCTCCGCGTCGCCGCTGCCGCCTGCTCTGTCCGGGCCGGGTCAGAGCCGGAGCATGGAATGCGCCGAGCCCCGAGAGCCCCGTGAGCCCCGAGAGCCCCGGGAACCCCGGGAGCCCCGAGAACCCGGGCCGGGGGCAGAGACCTCTGCGGATCAGCGCTGGGAAGAAGCCAAGACTTTCTATGACAACCTGGCACCCAAAAAGAAACCCAAATCGGTAAAGCAGGGCACGCGTATATGGGCCGGGCCGGGCAAAGAGGCGCTCCGGGAGAGGTGCCGTAAGCCCCCAGGGCGCGGGCCCATGGCGCCCCTCCGGGAGACAACGCAGCTCCCCAGCCCCAGAACGCGCCCGGCAGTTGGCGCGGGCTCGGGTTTATTTTGGGAGCTGTGCTCTGGTGGCAGTGGTGTTGTTTTTTTTCCGGGGCTCGGGTTCCACGCCAGAATCCCCCTCCCCCATGCTGTCACCAGGACGCAGCTCGCGGCCCGCGGCCCCAGCCACTCCCGGCGCGGACAGCACTTGTTGGCAAAGGAGGTCAGTGGCGCCAGCCGAAGCGGCCCGAGCTCGGGTAACCAGGCTCTGGAAACACGGCTCCTCGCGGTGCGCTCAGGTCTGCCACCTGGGCACCAGGCTCTGGACCGAGACTGCGTTCGGGCCAGGGCTCAGGTCGCTGTGCTCCGAAGCGGAGGGGACGGCTCGCTCCGGACACTGAAACCCGCGCTCCGTTAGGCAGTCAGGGCTCCTCTGCGGTGGGCGTTAACATCTCTGCAGGCCCCACGGTGTTGTTAGCCTCTGGGCTTTCCCACGAGGAGGGAGCGCCTCTCCCCATCCCACTGGTGGGCTCCGTGGCCTTGCTCAACCCAGCTTCCCAGCTCTCAGAGGTGGGGAGAGGGCTGTGAAGAGGAGACTAGCCCAAAGCTGTCCACCCAAGAACTCCAGGCGATTTCAAGTATCCAGTTGCTTCCCTCCAGAGACCCTTCCCCAGGAGGCGCTGGGTCAGCAGTCACTCCCCGCGCGCATCTCCAGACTGAGACATTAACTAAACGGAGTCCTGCCCCAGGCCTCACCCAGCACAGCCGCAGGCTCTGGAGGTGGTGGGTGCTCAGGTAAAAGCCCCTGCAGCGTGAAGTGGGAGCATAGGGAACCAGAGAAGACTTTATGAAGGTGACATTAGAACTAATCTTCAATTAACCGGAGTAGATTCCCAGGCAGAAAGAGGGAAACAGGAAGGGCAAAGGACTTGGCCATGTCTTTGCAGCCAAGGGCTGGGAGAAGGCAGGATGGCTGGAGGCTGTAGAGGAGGGGTGTGTGTGTGTGTGTGTGTGTGGGGGGGGGGTCAGAGCCTCTTTAAGGAGTCTGGCCCTTATTCCATGGGATTAGAGGTTTTCAAACTAGGCTCGGTGGAACCCCATGTTTCAGAGGTTCTGTGTGCACGTGAATCAACTTATTTTCTTTCTCTTCATACGTATTAACGTATATAATACACCCAACTCACTCAAATATGTTTAATAATCATTTTGGCACTCTGGAGGCCACTATCATATTAATGTGTGCTACAGGTGATCCTATTTTTAGAAATCCTTGGAATATAGCTTATGCTGCGATCGCTTTAGGAGAAAAACATCTTGAGATCACAGGGGATTACTATGTTGTAGATACAGTAATGTCTGGCTTACATGTTGGAATTCTTTCCTAGAGCTCATTTGAATAAAAGATCCATCTACTTTTTAAAAGCTATGAAAACCGCACGGAGCTGTTGCGGGATTTTCCAGTGTCGTTATCTTGGTCCCATTTTTCGCTTTAGAACATCAGTGCAGTATGTGAATGGGTTGGGAGAGTGAGGTTGGTTGCAGGCACATGCGTGAGAGTCTGCTTCCTGCTGTTTTTTTGATGCTGGACGAATGGGCCCTGATTGATGGGAGGCAGAGGAAGGCCGCTGGGGTCTGGAGTGGTGAATGCGTCAGTGCTCAAAACCCATTTCCTCCCTAATCACACGGAATGGGGGAGCTCTGGCCCAGTGGTCAGCCCCTGACCCCTTGGCCAGCCCTGACCCTCGCAGTTCTCTGGGAGGCATGGAGCCTGGAGGCTTCCTGGATCCTCTTCCTTCCGGTAGTAGCCCCACTTCCCACAGGCTATTTTGGGGGCGTTGGGCCTCCTGGGCCCCGTCAAGGCCTGCTTGGGCTTATTCTTACTCCCAGGGGCCTGAGTGAGATAGTTAACCTCTGAAGGTCTATTACAGGCCCTCACCTCACGGGGTCAGAGCACTTCCTCGGTCCAGAACTATCCCATCCGTCCCTCAGTGCTCCAGCAGCCTGGCTGTCTAAGTCATTCTAGAAATAACAGTTTTCTGTCTATGTTCCCGTCTTGGGCCCTATGGGCAGAGCCGTGTTGGCCTAAATAGAAGCTCCTCAGGCAGGTGGGGTGGGGGTGGGCTGCCCTCCACAGTCCTCCACCCCATTCCCCAAGCCAGAGTCATCAGACCGTCCCTGTGCCCCAGGGGGAGGCCGACAGAGCTGGCAGGACCCAGAGTCCTCAGGCCGAGCCCCTGTCTGCAATCTGGACTCCTTTCTGATTTCTGGACAAACTGCCTCCAGGTGTACCTGAGGACATGTGACCACACGGCCTTCCTCTGCGGCCAGGCCCAGGAGGGTCTCTAAGTGCTTGGCTTCTCCCCAGCTCCCACTGGGGTCCATATTTCCTTCAGCAACTCATGTCCTGCAGGCCCCTAGACCCTGCCCCACTGGCACTGTGTCAGGGCGGTCTGAGTGGGAAGGTGGGGTCCTGTCCTTAGCACCTCCATTTGGAGGGAAGAGAGCTCCCCACTTCCAGAAACTCCAGTTTGAGAACATGGGGCCCCTCATGGTCTCCCGAATCTGGAAAAGTGGGGCTTCCCTGGAGGTGTGTCTAGGGAAGTAACTGGAATAGTCGGGGCTCTTTTTCTGGGAGCTATTGAGGGGGGCATAGCAGGGGCTGTTGTGTGGACAGAGGCCAGCTGGAGGCCAGAGACTCAGGGTCTCATCTTGGCTCTGCCTTGATTTGCTGTGTAACAACCAGTAATACTCTGCCCCTCTCTGGGCCTATTTCTCCATCTGTCAAAGAGGGAAGTAGAGACTCCCAGGGCCAAGGAAGCCAGGACGTTTTCTCTAATAGCCAAGGGTACACTGGGGTGGGGTCTGGGGAGCTCAGCCAGAGGGGCCTCGGGACTCAGGAGTCTGGCAGGAACTGTGGGACAGAAAGTGAGGAGCGAGACCTTGGCTGGCTGCCTGGGCTGAAGCAGCAGGCTTGGGAACCTGCCTGAAGGGGCTTGGGAGGGCAGTTGGCTTTCTGTCTTAAGGGGGTGATGGGCCTGTCCCTGGGGCAAGAAGCCGAGGGGGCAGGGCAGGTCCTGTTCCATCACAATGGGGTTAGAAGTTGCCCAGTGCAAGGACACACGGATACCCGGATACCCGTGGTAATGGCTCTGGGTTGAGCCTCGGGGAGAGGCACCTGTCCTGCTGCTGTCTTGTGCTGACCTGCAGGCCA